GCCTCCCCTTTCCACGTTGGCAACCCAGAATACCTCGCGTTTGCAAATGAAACAAATTCACCGATAAAAGTTAGAAAGTTGAATTTGAAAATTCCAGTCTATTGAAAACCCTCCCAACCTATTCCATTACCTTCATGGTTCACTAGCCTACCACGCGTGAGTTATATAGCAATACTTGTCACATCGCGCGTCAATAAAATAAGCACAAGCATAGGTATAGATATTGTTTACTTACAGTACGGCCAACTCTGTGTTGTTGTGGAAGACTTCAGGTGGTAGCTCCTCTATTTGGTTTGTATACAAGTCCCTAAAAGGAGGACACATCCTGCACTGAGGTTGAACAGTTAACCTCCTCTCTATTGTTGTTGTATATTTTCTCAAGATTATTACTGTAATAGTCATCTAAAAACGGGTGCTCTCATGCATGTAAAAACGGATATACTTTTCACTCACAGCCTTTTCAGCTTGACCAACTGAGAAAAGGAGTCACCTCGCAATTTTTTAAATATAAACTAGTGAGCAGAAATTCTGCGTACAGTAGTCGTAAAACTTCTTTATTCTCCAACGCGTTCCGTCTAACTGTCGTAGATTTCTTCAGGGAGTTTTACAAGAATAACTAAACGCCTGTAAAAACGGCTTTAAACGCCACTAAAACCGTTGTCCCCAAAATATTTTTGACACCTAACCTTACGCGTTTTAAAATTTTTCACAAAACTTTGCCTGTTCCTGTTGGTAAGTCCGGCCAAGCCTCTATGGTCATTGGCCCCCGTAACTTTGGCTTATAAACACAGGCGTTTAGTTGTACTTGTAAAACTCCCTGAAGAAATCTACGACAGTCTACGACAATCTACGAAGAAGTCTATGACTACGACACTTGGAGTAGGAGAATAAAGAAGGATCAACTAGTTACTATCTGTAATATATCAGAGGGAAGAGGCGGGAACTACACAACCGTAACATTGGGATCTGAGAGAGAACACATGCATGTACGACTTTCTTTTGTGTTCTCCCTTTCTGTCAAATTTGCTAAAAATGTAGAAACCCTGGAACATTCGCGTAGTTTGGAAGTCTTAGCTCGCCGTAATCCTCTATATTCTCTTTTAGTGAGTAATTTTCAGTTTATTATAGACCACTTAATTAAGTCAGAGAATTTTAACGAAATGCTTCCCAAAAGGAACCCAATGATTTAGGGTTGTAGTAACGGTAAGCTCCTTCATGAACCGATCAACTTTTTAGCGAGTAGGCAGTGGAGAAAAGAGAGAGACTTTCACAGAAAATATTTTAATTAGCGTAATGATAAAGGCGATTAGAAGGCAAACAAACTTTGAAACATTTTCTCTTTATCAGTATCGGTCATGATCTGGGAACTGACAATTGCAGAGTTCTGTGGTGCAATTTATGGTAGAAATGCCCACATTCGAGGAACTTGCCTTGAGTGTGTATTTGTAGAAGGACTCAAAACTTTGCTTAACGATTTATAACGGACAAACTGTTTAGGAAAATTAGGATTTTAAATGAAAGAAAGTTCCAGTGATCAACTGTATACACCACACGTTTTAACTTTCTAAGTTACTTTTTGTGGAGAGTGATTAAATTATAAACGGCCACAAATCGAAATACTCGGAAATTCCGTACGCTGGAGCGCGCGGAATAAGCCAATAAGATTCGAGGATTAAGGATTCTGTACCGCTAAGATGCTTGGAAAAGAATATAGTGATTATTCAAAACTTTGGTGACTTACAAGCAATTCAGTTCCGTGTTATTGTTAAAGACTCCAGGTAGCAGCTCCTCTATCTGATTGTTACCTAGATCTCTACGAGTATATACAGGTTAGTGAGTTTAACGTCTTGCTTTCCTGTTGTTTGTTTCTTTTTGTAGTCGTAAATGTAAGTTTTTGTTTTCTATCGGAGTTACGTTTTGAGGAGGATTATTAAATTATAAACGGTTTTTAGGCAACAGATTGCAATACTCGGAACATTCTGTACCCGGGATCTGAATGGGAAAATCCGAACTGCTGGAGCGCGCGGAATAAGCCAATAAGATTCGAAGATTAAGGATTCCGGACCGCTGAGATGCTTAGAAAAAAAATAATGGTTATTCAAAACTTTGGTGCCTTACAAGTAGTTTAACTTCGTGTTGCTGTTGAAGACTCCAGGTGGCAGCTCCTCTATCTGATTGTTGTCAAAATCTCTACGAGTATATATAGGTTAGTGAGTTTAACGTCTTCCTTTCCTGTTGTTTGTTTCTTTTTGTAGTTGTAAATGTAAGTTTTTGTTTTCCTTCGGAGTTACTTTTTGAGGAGAATTATTAGATTTTAGGCAACAGATTGTAATACTGGGAGCATTCCGTATCCGGGGTCTGAATGGGAAAATCCAAACCGCTGGAGCTCCCGAAATTAAATAAGCCAATGAAATTCGAGGAGTAAGGATTTCGGACCGATGAGATGTTTGGGAGAACAATAAATGATTGTAATAAACTTTAGTGACATTTGGTTTAAGATTTTCGCCTAGATATCTACGAGAATATACAGGTTATACAGGTTAAACAAAAAGAGTTGGAATGCTTACAATTTCGCTGTAGAATGGGGCAAGTACCGTGGAACTGACTGTAAATGTTTTCCTCTGNAACGATAATGTCAGTCTCGCAGTTGCGAAGGCAGGTGAAAAAGCTTTAGGATTTGCTCATTTCACCAGCGAGGCATGGAAACTTTGCAAATCTGCAATGTATTTCCTTCTCAGCCCTATTGGGTTTAGAATCAAATATTTCCAAATAAACTCACTTTCAATGACGAGACGAATTTCTTTTTTTTCATGTCTGTTCACTTCACAGCTGTACTTGTCATAGTTTTCTCCATTAATGTTCAGCTGATACTGCACACTCGTACTGTTCTGTACCACTGTGCCGTTCTTTCTCCAAACAATAATTGGTGCCGGTGCACCTTGTGCTGGACACCATAGAGATGAGGTTTGGTTGAAAAGAACAAACTGAGTTGTAGCCACGTTGTCAAGACTGGGGTAGACTAGAAGGGAACAAATGAATGAAATGTACTTATACCTCTGTCATGTTCTATCTATCGACTTAAAAACATTTTAAAATTGTTTTAGTTTGTAACTTCAGAAGACAATACCTGTTATGTTAAGTGTTTTGTTGATGTAAGAGCCCCAAAACCTGATACAATGCTTGGAAAAACCAGATTTACTGATCCACAAGTTTTGTCCACTGGATCGCACAATACCAGAAATGTTCCTTCCACAAAATCTTCCGAGAAGATTGGCAGACTTGTTGTATCCATCGCGAATCGCGAGGTACATATCATCAATGCATGGTGTTGCATGTGACGTCTCCAAGGTAAAATTGAGTTCTACATAATGTCCCTTTGGAACTTGCAAAAGTTGACTTGAGTGAAACGATGGCACAACTCTCTGAAGGCTTACCTCCGCTACTAGCGCAACTGCAAGTAAAATCAGAGTAAACGAGAGGACAAAGAGAAAAGTTCCTCGCCCGGGTCTTGATATATGTCAATTTCGCCGAAGCATTGCAAGAGAGCATCTCGAATGGACCCTTTTTTCCCAGAAATGTTCAGAACGGAGACTAGAACTGATAGGACGTTTCATTGAAAGCCATATAGAACAAATTATGCCGTCATTGGTTATGTTTATGAAAACCTGTATTAGTAAGACAAAGATGAGTATATAAGTTCACACCGGCGAGAACTGATACATCAGCATCGACAAGAAGTAAAAGGAAAGAAACCACACCGACTATTTATATCCTGGTTTTGGAGAGGTTCAGCCGGAATACTTGCTGATGCTTTGAAACCTCACTTGATCTGTTAAATATTCAGGGATATTTAGACGTAATATATCTCCTGGTTTTTAATTTCAAGCACAAGAAACATATTGCCGGTTTCAGCATAATATTAAGTGCAAGATATTAACCAGCGGGAATATATCGAGCACCGATTGAAATAATCGAGCGGATAATAAATTTATGTTTGTAGACACAACCTCGTCGTATGTTCTCGTGTAATTGTTACGGAGATATTGTTTTCCGTAAGATACACATATGATCTTTTCTTTCGATCTTTCGGTTCGCTACTATGATTCATTAACCATGCGATGAAATTTTCTACAAAAGCATTTTTAACAAACTTTTCTCTCCTCGTGACGCATATAAATTACATAATTAAGTGAGCGCGCGTTTGATGCCGAACATCGAATATTAAAATAATTTGCTTCTTCTAGACTCAGGGGATAAGGCTGGTTGCCTAATAATGAGAGAAAAAATCGTTTTGCAACACGATTTGGTTGAAAATTAAACGAAGAATTACTAAACTGTATTTTGCTCATCCTAATGCTTGCGCTGCATGAGTTGAATTTTGTTGTTACGTCTCGGACATGGTCTGCTGTTGACTCGAGCCCGTTTCTACTCATGGGAACATCGAAGACCGGAAAGCCGTGAAAATGACGAAAGTAGGACCTATGTGTTAGATTTCGCCTAATTTAAGAAGGAGCAGTGGAGCATGTTTCGAGTTCCTGTCCAAGAGTCGCCTTCCGGAAAATGTTTCTATTGCGCTGAAGGTTCCTAATCTTCTCGCGAGTGCATTCTATTCAGACATAAACATTTAAGGAACAAGTCTAGTTAAGAGCAGTTATGTAACGAATTTTAGAAAATAAACGGCATTTTTAAAAGTCATGTTTGGACAATAATTACTGTCATCTTCAGTTAAAAACTATTACTTCTTAAATATTTTAACTGAAGATTACGATTAGTTACTGTCGAAACATTTCTTTTAAAAATGCCATCTAAGCAAAAAGTGCAGTTTTACCGGGAGGCAATTTCAGTTTATGTTTTGCTTTGGAATAAGCTTATACGAAATATTTAGTCTTTTGGCTTGATATCCTTTTTAATAAACATAAAAACGCTTACAGAGAGCAATGAAGAAACCCCATATGGTCCTTCTGGACGCCATCTTCCTCTTTTCAGTTGTTAAGCTGAGGGAAAGTGATAATAGTCACTTCACCGTATCCCATCATATAACGTTTTAGTACAACTGAGTTAACGTACATGAATTAACTTGAAATATTTGATAACAAGAAAGGCACCGCTCTGAAGGCACCGCTCTGCACATTTGCAACTAAATCAAATTAAAAAACCTTTATTTTAAGATGGTGACACCAATAACTTTTAAAAAGTATTCTCTCTAGTAGCCGCTCTAAAAACAAAATTGCTCAATGATGAAAAGCTTATTTACAAATAGTAATTATGATAAAAGATCTTAAAAATTTTTGTATTCTCCCTCCCTAGTAGTGGCCCTTTAAAAACAAGATTGATAAGAATAAAATTACAACAATCATGATAAAAAGCCTATTTACAATTATAAAAGCTGATAGTTTCTAAAGAAACTGTTTGGGGCTGCGTCGGTGGGGGTAATATTAATATATCAACAAA